CCCTATAGCCTCTCGAAGATAAGTACAGACGTCTCCGTACCGATCCACAAAACTCTACCAGGTTTGCCCATAACTTGTGAGACCTAAGTGAACCTAGTGCTCTGATACCATGTTGTCACGATCCAAATTCCATATTAGGCCGTGATGGCGCCCAACATCGTGTTAGGAAAGCCAACACTAATCCACTAGTGAATCCTCGTTTAAACAATTACTACGTGATATCTTCTCCTTATTGATAAAGAAATTAGGAGTTTAAAATTTAAGCATAATTAAATGGAGGTAATAAATACGAATTGAAATCACGAAAGTAAACTAAAAATCATAAGTCTACTAATGTGTGTGCCAAGACCTGGTGTCACAAGTGTGTGGGAAATCTAGTAGAATATACAAAACCATACTATTCTACTGTCTCAAAAAGAAATAGACAGGAAAATAAAGACATAAGAGAGACTCCAGCTGCTGTAAAACGGCTCAAAAGGGCAGCTCACCGGGATGTCTCAAGCTGAGGAGTCAAATATACGCGCCGGACTGATGGCCAGATGCACTTGCCTCAAAGCATGTACAATCAAGTACAGAAGTGTAGCACGAGTACGTAAAAATATGTACCTAGTAAGTATCTCGCCTAACCTCGAAGAAGTAGTGACGAGGGGTTGACTCCGACACTTACTAGGCTAGCAATATAATAATAATAAGTTCAATATTTTAAATCACAGTGTATGTAGAAAACAACAAGCTCAACCAAGAGTGATACTAAAAGTCCTTTCCTCAAATTAAGAAATCAAGGAACTTTCTTTATTTAAAACAAGTGACCTTTCAAGCAACAAATCATACGAATCATAAGAAGTTCCGGTTCTATTATCACACGCAAATACCACCGAGGACGTTCGGCCCGATCCAACATAAAAGTAAATTGTGCACCGTCGAGGGTCGAATGGCCTGAACCATAGATACATTTATTAACCTGCCGAGGCGAACGGCCCACTCCCATGAGAGTACTGAAAATAATCACCCCGCTCGCGGAATATACTTGCGACGCGGTTAAACATAAATATAACGAAATGTTTCCTCAATTCTTTTCAAAATGATAATTTACTTGAAATCTTTGAAATCATGAAATCATCAACTTAATTCCGTTCAATGCAAATCAACAAATATAATCATATAGCGGTACCCACAAAGCATGGTGTAAGCCTAGAACTACCTGGACATAACAAGAATAGTAGCTACATACGGACTCTCGTCACTTCGTGCGTACGTAGCCCCCACAATTAATCATATATTAATTAAGTTCACCTATGGGGAAATTTCCCTCTTACAAGGTTAGAAAATAGACTTACCTCGTTTCGAGACTACTTCAAACTCAAGAATGCGCTCAAACCCCAAACTGGAGCCGAACAATCCGAAACTATTGAAATAGTATAAAAACTAATCAATATAGGCTTAAAAGTTCATATCTCACTATTAGAGTGATTACCCAACCCATATTGCAGGAATACTAAAGTTCGTCCCCGGGCCCACGTGCCCGGATTCCGAAAATTTTAGAAAAAAGTTGTTACCCATAACCTTAGGATCAAGAATATATGATTTTTACTTCATTCCATAACAAATTTTGTGGTTAAATCTTGTTTTTATCAAAACCCTAGGTATTACTCTAATCCTATGATTTCCACTAATCTTTACATGTTAATCTACCCAAAATCCAAGTATTTAACTCACATATAGTAGGAATTACTTACCTCCAAAAGCTTGGTGAGGAACCCCTCTCAAGAAGCTCAAAAATCGCCCAATAATGGAGTGAAATGAGCCAAAAACGTCTAAGGCCCATATTAAATGAAGGCTACTGCCTTCAGTGATTTCCGCACCTGCGGTCATGGGCCGCACCTGCGCCCACGCATCTGCGGACAGTGGTCCGCTTCTGCGGAACATCACTGGGCCGGTTGGGGCCGCTTCTACGGTAGGCCCATCGCTTCTGCGGAGGAAGGGTCGCATCTGCGTTTCTGGGCTGCCCACCCTTGGGCGCATCTGCGAGTCAAGACCCGCACCTGCGAGCTCACATCTGCGGCTGACCAACTGCAGGTGCGGCTACGGCAGAAGCTGGGCATTCAGTTCTTGCTCAATTTTCCAACTTAATTCGAGCCTCGTCTGATTGACGCTCGGGGCCCCGTTCGAACATACCCACAAGTTTGAAATGATAAAACGGACTCGCTCAAACCCTCGGAACGCCCGAAACAATATTAAAACTAGGAATCACACCCTAAAACCAATTGATTCAAACTTATGAACTTAAAGTTCTTCAATTTACTTCCAATGTGCCGAAACATACTTATACTACTCGGATTGACACCAAATTTTGCATGTTAGTCTTAAATGACATTACAGAACTATTCCCGATCTCAGAACCCCATTTGGACCTCGATATCATCAAAACCCTCTCTAAACCAAATTTAAAGAACTTCTAAAAACCTTCAAGAACCAACTTTCACTATTATGCGCCAAAACGCTCCCGGTTATTCAAAACCCAATTCGAACATACGCCCAAGTCCGAAATCATCATACGAACCTATTGGAACCGTCAAATCCCGATTCTGAGGTCGTTTACTCAAAATGTTGACCGAAGTCAAACTTGGCCTTTTAAGCCAACCTTAAGGAACCAAGTGCTCCGATTTCAACCCAAACTCTTTCAAATCCCAAATCAACCATCCCCGCAAGTCATAAATCAGTAAAAGCAAGTACGGAAAATCTTATTTAAGGAAACGGGTTCTAGAAAGCAAAACAACCAGTCAGGTCGTTACGGAGTGCAGGTTGGATGAGTTTGGCCTTTTTACCCCGATAAAATACTCATATAGTAAAGAAAAAATATGAGAAAATATGTCAACTTTTCAGGATTGGATATCTCTACAATTTGCAGGTAAATAACGATTACCGTATAGCTTGCTAGATGCAATGCAAGCTGTTGTTATTGGTGTGAGTTGCAAATTTGTATGTTATTTAGTTTTAGCATTATTTTTTTTTTTTACGCACGTTCTATTTCTCTATGAACCATACATTCTCCAACATCATTATGTCCAAATGTGCTAAAAAACATACTAGCATAGTTAAGAAAAGTAATCAAGGCCACGTAGAAGGTGGTGAAAAATCAAAGAGATTTCTCATGTTTTTAAACTGACTTTGCTTAAGGAAATTAAATATTAATGTTCCCTTAAGCACATGCTACATATCAAAAAAATTATAAAGCATCATTATTTTTTGTGGAGCATTCATATCAAGCAAATTGTATAATATCATTATTTTTTATGGAACATTTATTAGGGCGATGGAATAAAAGTTTTACTTTAGTCTCAAAATATTTTTAATGTTTGGTTGTAAAGATGATATTAATACTAACAAATTAAACTTTAGGGTGTATTGGTAAAAAATAGACTTCACACGTGTAATATTTCTGATGACAAGGAGATCCATGTGGAGCAATAGAAACATGACAGTTGGTCACAAATTTACAAAGAGGTACGAAACAAAGAGGAACGGAACAACATATCCACGAGACAATTAGATGCGGGAACCTTAGTCTAATTGAGGAGTTGAAGAGACACGGTCAGAATGAACCAAGGAAGAATAAAGGGCAGATTCAAAGATCTTCAATCAATGAGCCAAACGTTACATAATCTTCACGCAACAGTTACGATTACCTATTGTAACGTTACATTAATGATATTATTTGTCATTAATGTTCAATCATTAATGATAGTAGGCGTTATATTAAGAAGTTCCCTGTAAAAGGGAAGAAAATATCACTTGTAGAGACACATTCGAACTACTACTGAAATACATTTACTTTTATGCATTCTTATTGCAAGTCTAATTATTTCAATCTAGTTTTCTTGATTATCAATAACACGAGTTCTTTTAAAATATTAGCTTTGACTAAAATTTCTATTTTCTGGTTAAACATACGGTGTAAGTCATTTTTTTAATTATCCGCATATCGTGCGGGTACTAATACTAGTATATATTAAAAGAATAAAGTTATTATATATTATATATTATTGTCATTATGATTAGGCCACGTGACAAGCTAAAAAAACATGGCAATCTTTAGGATAGAATCTAAAAACATGTTAGCCAAATCTAAAAATATGAGTAATTTTTAGCATGAGAAACGTAAAAAATAAATAAATAACAACTGGGATATAATTGTTGTATACACTCAATGGGAAAATTTGAATTCTGGTTTCTTACCTAAAAAAAAAAAAAAAAAAAAAAAAAAAAAAAAAAAAACTTAAATTACAATTCAAAAAAAATTGTTGCAGTACAATTTTTTTTTACATTTCACCAAAAAATGAGAATCATTTTATTTTTTCATCTTTTGTCCAGTTTTTCCTTTATAAATTATTTAATATACTGTTTATAATAACTTACGATCTCATCTCTTTCCCACTCCAACTAATAAAAATATGCCTTTGACTGGTCGTAAAATATTTGGTCCTCACTTCAGACATCACTCATATTCTAGTTACATCATAACTCTATTTTACATTCCATAAAAATTAATTGTAATTAGTTGAATTACCTATCGGAACCAATTAGTCGGGATGTGTATAATTTGATAAATATCGAATTATCGAACCAAAAATAAAAATTTTGGTATTCGATATTTGGTATGGTATTTGATTTTTTTTTTTTTTTTTTTTTTTTTTTAAGATTTGGTATTTGATGTACAGTGCAATTTTGTGCTTCTTGTGATATTATTTCCCCCCGTAAATGGCTTATTTTTGTCCAAGATTTTTAAAGACAAAAAAAAAATTCTTTATTCAAGTCAAATAATCATTACTGAACCAGATAAAACAAAGCCGAAAAAAAAAAAACAAAATAAAATCATATAACTGACAAACACCTATACCAATTAAGTAGGAGAATGGGGTATAGAATGCTTTTTTAAGAACCTTTAAAATGTGTTTATAGTTTCAGCCGTACGTATTAAATCTTAATGAACGAATAAAGAGTAATTTAACAGCAGTTTAAATGTACATTAGAAATGGAAAAAACGAACAAAGATTTTCAGGTGCAGACGCAAAACTACGTTCCCTGCTGCCCCTGCCCCCACATTACATTGTAGAAAGCGAATCACGACAAAATAAAATTTGATTACATCAGCAAGTCAATCTTTTCAAATTTCCCTTCATCTCATTCAACACAGGTACTTGAAACTTTCATCCATCTTAACATATAATTGCATTTTTAATCGATCTTGAATATTTCTCATTTGTGGGTGAAATCTTGGCGATCTTTTCTTTCATAATTCTTATTATTGTTCTGCTGACAAGAAATGGGTAATTCTAATGCCGTTGCCTTCAAGAAAGATGGTAGGTTATGTGTATGTGATTGTGTGTCTGTGCGCGTGTTTTTTGGTTTTGATTTTACATTTGGATTAATGGGTGATGGATTAATTTGGAATTCACAGGGGGTGGTGCTATGAAGAATTCATCATCAGAGGAATTAGACTCTTATTATCCTGTTAGACCCGAATGCATTGCTGATGTTCCCAAGACCCGCTTTAAAGCAAGGGTGTGTGCAACAATTTCACATCTCATTTCTTTCCTTTTATATGATTTTGTTTTCACATTATCCTTTTTCCTTTTCTAATAACTCTTTCACATTAAGTGCTCGTTTGGTTGGATAGTTAATCATGGTATAAAACTCAGCATTCTTTTGTACATTGTCTCGTTAATTGTTTGTTTTTTCTCGTAAATAATACTTTTATAAGTTATGCGGGATCTAAATGCGAGATAGGGTGTGGAATAACAATGCAGGTATTAGCAATACATGGATTACCATTCAACAAGAAATAATATTTGCATTATAATCAATCCCCACGTTACTAATCTCCGCATAACTTCTCCTTGAACCAAACGACCCCTTAATGTTATCTCATACAGTATAGAAATACCATTTTGGTAATTTATTTGGTTGATGATCTAGTTGTTGTTTTTTGTTCCACTGGGAGTTGCTGATCGCAAATTTGTTAAAAATCTATCCATACCGGAATGATGACATAAACTAGAGTATTTTGGTTGACATTTGTCTTGTAATTCTTTTCATATTACTTTTTCAAGGAAGAAATGTTAAGCATTATTTGTTTTTGCTATGTTCAATGATTATAGAATGCTTATGACTGGCTATATCTGCTAAAACCCTTTCTGCACTTTTTTCTGCTCTTTTTTAAACAGGTAGGAAAAACTCTTAGCGAAAGAAGATGGAATGCTGCATTCTCTAAAGAGGGTTATTTGGATATAGCAGGTGTTCTTAGACGAATCCAACGAGGGGTATAGTCTTTTTCGCTATTGTTCTTGTACTGCATATGTCACATTGTTAACGTATCATTGAGTCAAATCTATTGTTCTCTGAAGACTCTACAAGTTGATGTTAGCCTTTGCATTACTGGAGACCGTATGAGTGCCTAACGGTGAACACAATGTAGATATGGAAATTGAGAACTGGATCTTCCAAATAAGTAATTTATTATTGGACAATTAGTCAATTTGTTAGTCTTCTGCAACACAGTAAAGCAAGTGAATTAAAAGCTGATTCAACCTGCATTATTATCCTAACTCTTTATAACATTGCCGCATACTCGGAACAACTTGTAGTTTCTCCGTCAAGTAATGCAATGTCTATGTGTTCTGACCGTGCTCATTATTTTACTGCTTTAGAAAATTCTATTTGAGGGTGATTTATGTTTCCATTATTCTGAATATTCATGATGAAGGTTTAATTGTTGGAACGAAATTGAAGATGTTATTATCTATTGGTTGGGATGGTAGTACAACTATTCCCAAGGAAAGTGATGGAGTAGCAACAATACTCTTATCTTGTCTTGTTATTCAGTGTCTCATTGTCTTGCCACTGTCAGCGTTTCTTTTTCCCTTGCTACTCGTCATGGTCCAATATGTGATATGTGTAGTCCATATTGTGCAGAGGAGTGCATCATGCCAGTCTGGTTTTACATTTTTAAGATGAGTTGCTTGGACGATGAATTAGTTATAGCTCTTCGTTTAATCAAATGATGAAATAAAACTGATTATCTTTGCGACTAAAATATTAATTTCTTGTGGATCCTTACAAGCTTGTGAAGCGGGGTTCCATCATAAAACTAATTGATCTTGGGTAAAGTAGTCACTTGTTTTACAAATTGTCTTATCATCATCCCTAACAAATCCTGATTGCTAACTTCTCCCTATATAGAGAGGTGTACTTCCTCCCTGTATTGAAGCTATTCTGAGCACTCTAGGAAGTTCTTAGCCAATGAAAGTAGGACGCTCTTTCCTCTATTGGAATAGCTTGCATGATATCTAGAAATCTCTTTCCTACCATGGAAACTTGTACTTTTGTTGGGAGGAGCTAACTGCCCAGTGTACAATATAACCCAACTGGATAAGGGTGGAAGAAGCCTTGTTCTTAATTGTTCCTCATAGCCCCGTAGGGTATCTTCACTCTGATGTACTGAAGCGTCTCCTCCCTCTCCCTCCCTCCCTTCACACAGGAGTTGGATGCAATTCCAATCCATGTACTGTAGAAGTGATTCTGTCTGTCGCTCTGGAGAAACATTTCTGTAGATTTTAATTAATCTGAAGGCCAAGATAACTTCACAGTTTCTAACACCAAAATCAGAGTGTTTCAGCTGTTAGATAAATATAGTGTAAACTGCATAGAGGAAGGCAATTTCGAAGTTCATAATATTTTTCAGATCAAGCACGTTGGTCCTGTAGGCAAAAGATCCTTTACAATGCTGACATATATGCCCCTACTCTGATTGATTGAATAAATAAACAACGGTACCTTATTGAAGTGATTAATGTTTTTGCTTTTCTGCTTCACGAAAAGGTTTTACACTTTTTTGTTGTATTTTTTTCTGTCAGCTGTGTATATAATTTAGGCTGTTGCAAATATACATGTTCATACGAATTGGATAACTTGGTCTACTGGTGACATCATCATAAAGAGGCAGTGTCAATTAATTATAGGAGTTTTTTCATATGCTTATTGCTGATACTTATCAACAAGAAATATGCTTATTTCTGTTTAGCTGGAACTAAACTTCAGGAATTATAAAGCTCATTAATTATTCTGTGAATGCTAGGGGATTCATCCATCAATTAAAGGCGCAGTCTGGGAGTTCCTGTTGGGTTGTTTTGATCCTGAGAGCACATTTCAGGAAAGAAATCAACTCAGAGAACAACGGAGGTAATGTGAGTTGTTTCAGCAATTTTAACAGATATAACTAAAGGATCAAACTGGCTGCTCTAGGAATGTAAACTGAAAATCAAGATACAGACTAGTTATGCTCTAAATTTTGTACATTTAGAAGCACAAAGTCAAAGCATCAGTCATGACCAAAATAGTTCTATGCAATAACCTCTCATGTTTGATAGAGCTTTTATCACAATGATTAACTTTATTTACTGATCCCTTCTGTATAGTGGAATGATTCATTGTTTAGCATGGAGAAGTTAAGATAGCTTGTAATGCTGGTTTCTACCCTTTCCTATAGGTGGACACCCTGTGTGGTATCCTTGGTCTCCTGCTGTCAAGATCTGACTTTTTGAATTTCATGAAATTACTCATTTTTAAATATAATTCTAAATTGTTCTGTCTTGATATGTATTTATTCAACTGCAAGAAACTCAACCTCTTGGCGACATCATAGAACCTTCTGTGAGGTTTGTCAAGTCTGAGCACTAGAATATTCAGTTTTACAAAATTTCAAAGGCCTGCAATTTCTTGTTCTTACAGTATCGGGCAGCAAACAAGTGTGGGGGCTGTTTTTCAGCATTTTTGGACAGAGTGTAATTAGGCATCAATTGTTAAAAGACCTACTGACTTGTTGGAGGTGCTGCTGTCCTATACAATAAGAAAATGCTGGATTACTATCCCTGCTTGTGTCTGTTGGGTGCTTTGTAAAGAGAGGAATGCAAGGTGTTCTGATGGAAAGAATAGCTCAATTCAAAAGTTGAAATTTTGATGTTTACGCCTACTGGCAGCTTCATCTAATTTACAGGAGTTATGTGATGAATAGGCATTACTGACTTTGTTAGCTAATTAGCTTACTAGGACTGGCTTAGTATGGGGGAGCCTATTCATCACCATTCCTGCCAGTTTCTATCATGAGAGGTCAATTTGGATGAATAAATTCCTTGGTTAAATTATAATAAAGCCATGTCAATGCCTATGTCTTCAGTCAATATGTACCATATTCCTCGAGTGCCCTGATCCAATTTGAGTCCGTTTCTGAAATTATTGGCAAGAAAAGAACGTGGCTGAAAGGCTGAGTTCATTAGTTGTGGGCTTTGATCTTTCCTCTGCTGTGGTATATAACATAGAACCAAGAAGAAGATGGTTATTCAAATTCTGAAATTTATTGCCTCAAATATATTAGCATGAATGTACAAAATTAAAGAAAATGTAAGTATGAATGTGGGGCGATTTGCAGTTTTAATCTCAATCTCCACCCAATACATTTGCTCCATAATTCTTCATTCAGTTTCTCTTTCTTTGGGGAAACCTTCCATTGCTACTGGTGCTGAGCTAACAAGTCTATAGAGGTAGGATGCTTTTGTGCCTTGAGAACCAAATTTGACAGAAGGATTCTATCACTTTTTATTGATGACACATGCACATCTTTCTTTTTCTTTTTTCTCTACTAACAAGCATCTATGAGAAGTATGAAAGAAAAACACAAAGAAAAAGCTAGCATAAAATGGTATGTTGAAATTGAAATGAAAAGAACTTCTGTATATATTAGTGGCCTAAATTAAATATCTGAAATTTGTAATTTCAGGGAGCAGTATGCTGCATGGAAATCAGAATGTCAGAAGATAGTACCTGTTATTGGCAGTGGAAAAATCATCACTAGTGCTATAGTCTCTGATGATGGGCAGCCTATAGTAGCGGATGATGGGCAGCCTATAGTATCTGATGATGGGCAACTTATAAAGTCTGCAACTAACACCAGTAAATCACAAGATAATAATGATGCCACGCCAGTTGATAATGGTGATTTTGACAAGAAAATGATTCAGTGGAAGCTTAGCTTGCATCAAATTGGTTCGTATTTCTGCCACTACTATTCTCTATTTATGTACAGTTTACATTGAATGTGGGATCTCCCGGCATCTCTTTCTCTATTTCCGTTTGTCTTTGACCATATCTTGTGAGAGAGGTCGTTGTTGCAAAAACTTTCTTTGTCTAAAATTTTCTTAGTATTCTCTTTGTCCCAACTATTGGGGTTTGAATTGTGCAGTTGTATTAATAAGTTACCAACCAAAAAGAATTAAATTTGTTAAAGCAACTGCATAAAAAGAATTAAATTTGTTAAATAATAAATAACCAATTAAAAAGAAGAAAAGCCTTTAAGGGAGTTGCTTAGCTGTCAAATTGTTGGAGTAACAATCCTGAGAACCAAGATTTGAATCCAGAAGGGGCGACATTAGGTGACACTAGGTGAATTCATCCCCTTTGCTAAACTTCGGTGAGTAGAGTCACCTGATACCTGTGTCGGTGGGAGGTAGCAGGTACCCTATGAATTAACTAAGGTGCATCAAGCTGGCCCAAGTATCACTGTTGTCAAAAGGAAGGAGAAGAAAAGAACAAAAAAATTTGTCTTTATTTGAATGGTCAACAAGTGTTTGTGTAGGAGCCAAATCATATTTTTGTATTTGCTGCATCTCCCAGATGTCCAATATAAATATCATTACTTCATCAAAGGAAAGGGAAGGGTCAACATAAGTAAAGTTCTCAGATTTTCAGTTCTAGTTGTAGACAATGCAGTAGATCAGCTTTCTCTAAAGATTAGCTCCACCCATAGAATACAATAATTAAGATGTATTGATGAAACAAGACAAGGGAATGATGCATATAAAGTTGGTGATTTTTCTTAACTGGCTGTATGTATTTCTATAGCAGTCAGATTACAATTCTATCAAGTTCAGATATAGCTTCAATGGATTTTGGGAAGTGAAAATAGGGAACATCAAAGGTACTAAGTTTGCAGATGCCGGAAGTGTTTTTGTATTTAGAGACTGTGTGTCTATCTTTAGACTGTAATTCCTTAAAGATGTCCCTTAACCATTGGAAAATTGTTACAAATAAATGGACCAACAGGTCTTTAACTATGTATAGCTCCGATAAGTTCAACAATTCAATGAGACAAATGGTTTTCTTCGTCACAAGACACTGAGTTGAAGAGGGACTGAGTCACTTAGAGAATAACAAGTGGCAAAAAGAGTGAAATTCCAATCACTTATGGGACTGGATTTTGCTTTCTCTTATACACACGCCTTGCTGAGGTTAATTTTGGAGCTTTGGCTACAGTAAGCCATGGATGCTTTTGTAAAGACTTGACTGATTAACAGCATCCATTTGCAGACTGTTTGAAAGAGGGATGAAGTTTGCAGATCACTTTGAGAAAATTAACTTGCTAGGTAATCGAGTTATCTACTTCCCTTCCGCAGGCTCTGTTGACATGAACTAAGAATTTCACAGTACAACAATAAAGCATGTGCTGGTTTTCACTTTTCATACATTGGGATATAAAATAAGTGACTAGAGGCTATGGTAATTCTCTCCTTACACCTTCCAGTTGTACAAGGCTTTAAAGCTTTTAACAACCATATTGCTACGTTCCATTTTCAAAGTTGTTCAATTGACAGATGTTGTCACTATCTCAACTCCAATGTGGTATATGTTTACAGAATTTGAACTTTGTTGACAGGAAAACATTTAGAAAGAACTTTTGCAATCTTTAATGATTAAAAAAAAAACAGAAATCAACTAGATCTTGGTGATTTTACATGTGTACAAGTTCTACTATGCTTAAATTACTTGAATCTGAAGTACCAATAAGCCACTTCTTTGACCGGCTAAGAGAGTTGTGTTTCAGGATAAACTGATTTTCCAAATGATATCTGAAACTATCACAATTTGCAATGTTTATTTAGGTTTGGATGTTGTTCGAACGGATCGTACTCTTGTATTTTACGAGAATGAAGCTAATCAGGCAAAACTCTGGGATATACTAGCTGTCTATGCCTGGATGGATAAAGATATCGGCTATGTTCAAGGTATTATGGTTGCATTAGGCCTTCTCTTTTGATATTGTTAAGGCCATTCATAAACTTCGCCTCTCATTTTATATGAACAGGAATGAGTGATATTTGCTCTCCAATGGTTATTCTGCTTGAGAACGAAGCAGATTCATACTGGTGCTTTGAACGTGCAATGCGTCGATTGGTATGTCTATTGTTTCTAATGTTCTACCATGGTTATTAGTTAGTGATTAGACACATACATACAAGTTGCTACAGCAAATGACAAATGACAAAAAGTAAAAGCGCCATTGCTATCACATCATTGTTTGAACTTCTACTGAATAGTTATTATTGGAACTGCTCTTCTTCAATGATCTACCATCAGTTAACATATAAACATATTTCAAGCACATCTATCTTCTGAAAGTGGTTCCCCTGCTAGATTGCTCAGGTAAAGCACCCTGCATTCCCTCCTGAAAGGGGTTGTCAACTTGTACATGTATTTATATGTTCCTTTAGTTGACATTTTCTTTCCATTTGGGCAATCTTTTGTGCTCATTATTTCCTGTAATTCTGCCTTCTGTCTGTATATAACTACTCTGCTTCAACAGCGAGAAAATTTCAAATGCACCACAAGTTCTATGGGAGTGCAATCTCAGCTAAGTACGCTAGCACAAATTGTTAAAACTGTCGATCCAAAGCTTCATCAGCACCTTGGTAAGGGGATCCTGTTCTTTGTGAATTCTCTTAGTCAGTATTCTCAGAATTGCAGCAGAGAGCTCAAAATCTTTATGGAATTGTTGCTTTTCCTTTCCAAATATAGTGTCGTGAATGATTTTTGTGTTTTCAGTGGTGTCTTGTGATGATTTTGTGATATGGAATTTCACGAGTGATATGTATGTTCAAGCTTCTTTTTCTTGATACTATCTGCTGTAGCCCATTTTTCCGTTTCTGGATTATCAACTTTGATCATTTTGAAAAGGAGTGTCCCTAAAGAAAGAAAAGGAGGATATGTACTCATATATATATATATATATATATGAGTGTATTTTCCCTAGTAAAACCCGAGTGAAACTGCTTCAGGCTTCAGAGTTATAGTTGGAAGAAAGGTAGAGGGGAAGTAGTTTCACGCTTTAAACAGTTATAGTTGGATAGGACATAGTTTTGGCTATTAGATATCTAGCCTGAGTGCATGGTGAATCTTAATTGGCATTTTATATTATATTAAATCTCGTGAGTGGATTTCCTTCGTTTTACGGTGTCCATGTCCGCTAACGCACCGACTATTCCATTAGGTACCTATTACCTCCCACCAACATTGGTGTCGGGTAACTCTGTTAATAAGGTTTAGGCAGATGGAAAGAAATCACAGCGTTCTCTATTTTTGTTGGGATTGAACCTTGTTTTTCAATCTTTTCACGTAATTCTTTGACCACTAGGATACACCCTTGGTGCTTCTCATTGATCACTATGTACATTATTGGGTGCCTCCCGTAAGTGGGTTTCTAAAGCTCACTACACAATTTTGAAATTGACTACCATAAGTAAGCGGTTACATTGATCTAGAAGAAATGGGAGCGACGGAGTTGCATTATCTGATAAGTTATGTAGATTTCTATGATAGTACTATACCTATTTTGTCATTTTGGGCCACATCAACAAATCATAAATTAGTCATTGTGAATAATGGAAATCCCATCGTCTAAAGGCCCATATTCGTACATACTGTTTTATAAGTTGTTAGATTGTGTAGAATACTAGTCAAATCTTGACAATGTAGATATTAAGAAAGCCACAAACAAAATAATTGGCCACCTGAAAACACGGAGGAATGACTATAAATATTGATTTTACTGTCTGTATCTCTCACAACACCAATAATTGTATCTGCAGAGGAGCTAGATGGCGGAGAGTATCTGTTTGCATTTCGCATGCTGATGGTACTTTTCCGCAGGGAGTTCTCGTTTGTTGATTCACTCTATCTTTGGGAGGTAAGAAGCCCTAACTCCTTTTCGAATTGTATGCGTTAGATAAATATTGCAAAATAGCTTGCACTGGTCTTTGGCTTCGTGCTTTTATTGTGTTTCCGTTTCTGTTCGCAAAACATTTGACATAAAGTTTAATGGGAAAGGATTGGTTCTTTATATTTCTGAACCATTCAAGGGTGAGGAGTGATGACCAAATGCAGGTCAGAAATCAGAATTATGGGATCTTCTGATGTATGCTCATTTTTACTGCATTTCATTCAGGTGATGTGGGCCATGGAATACAATCCAAACATATATTCTTCTTATGATGACAAACGACAACCCAATCTTTCTGAATTGCTGTACGATGATAAACCAAATGACAAGCATAAGCTAAAAGAATATGGGAAGTTTGAAAGGAACAATTTGAAAACTGGTGCCGCGGAACAGAATAATAGTGCTCTTGCTGTTTTCCTGGTTGCAAGTGTTCTTGAGACCAAGCACAGGCGACTTATGAAAGAGGCAAAGGGCCTAGATGATGTTGTACAGGTATCTTTCTATCAATCTATATCTGTGTATTCCACATTACTATGTCTATTTGATGCTGACTAGGAAAAGTTATCCAGATCTTGGGTGAAATATCTGGGAATTTGGATGCAAAAAAAGCATTAGATGAAGCATTGAAGGTTCATAAGAAGTACTTGAAACAGGCAAGTTCTTTTGTCTACAACAGTCTACCTCTCCCCGGTCCACAAACCCCCAACCCCACCCAAAAGAAAGAAAAAAAAAGATTTAACTTATATACCCTCACAATTTAAAGAATTTTTACAATTTACTATGTCCACTTGTTATGGATTGTTATCCGTAAAAGGCAGCCCGGTGCACTAAGCTCCTACTATGCGCGGGGTTCGGGGAAGGGCTGGACCACAAGGGTCTATTTTATGCAGCCTTACCATGCATTTCTGCAAGAGGCTGATTCCACGGCCGTGACCTCCTGGTCACATGGCAACAACTTTACAAGCTATGCCAAGGCTCCCCTTCCAGATTGTTATCTGTAGGCTGTAGTTATCTTTTAGGTGACATGATAATGTAAAAAATCACACTGTCAGTGCATAGAAGTTAAACTTTAAAAAAGAAAATTCCCCCTACCCTTCGGTGTATTTCCTGAAAATGACTTGGTTTCCTTTCAACACACTTGATGCAGGCCAAAAAATCATAGTTGGAGTTGCTAATGATCACTTCAGCAAGCACCTCCTGTGGTTAAAATCTTTTTTGTTTTTTGTTTTTTGTTTTTTGGTTTTTTTATTTCATTTCATTCTTTTTTACCCTCTTTTGGGTTTTCACTCTCTTTCTTAGAGGTGTAATTCTTCTTTGTATTGGTGATTCATGTCTGTCTTCTTTCTTTTGATTCTTGTTTCTATATCTCTATAAGAAAGAGGAGGATGTAAGTTTTGATATGAAATGTACTTGACGTCATTTTTGCTCCAAATATGTTATTCCAGAATGTAAGAATATTGCAACCATGAAATTGATATGATCAATGACGTTTCATTTTGATAATTGCAAACATAAAATAATTTCTTTTCTCATTGACATAATATAGGTCACAGGCAGGGGCGGAAGGGTGTTAACCTGAACCCGCTTTGCCAAAAAATTACACTGTATATGTAAGGCAAAATCTGCTTTTTACCTCTATATATTATGTTTTGAATCCCCTTGACCCAGCCTAAAAGCATAGCTTAGTGGTCAAGGGGGTTCAAAACCTTTGTATGATCATTGGTTTTATTCCCACTGGCTACAACCTTTTTAACTTTTTTCTTTTTTGAACCTCCTTGGCGGTAATCCTGCCTCCGCCACTGGTCACTGGTCACGGGTCCGAGCCGTGGAATCAGCCACTGATGCCTGCATGAATATGAAATGTTTCGTGCACAGGGTCGCCCTTCTTCTTTTTCCTTCTTTATTGACCATTTTTTTTTTGGTTTCCCACCCGGTGTTCGGTATCCGCATTGGAGCCCGACTGTATCCGGATTCGCGCCGCGTAGGGCCCCATTCGACGGGAAGCGCTCCCTACCAAGGATTTTTTCATACCCAGGGCTCGAACTCGAGACCTCTGGTTAAGGGAGGAGCAGTCTCATCCACTGCACCACATCCTCTGGTGGTTCTTTATTGACCATGTCTCGATGGTCTTCTCGCTTTTCTTTTTCCTTCTACTTGGAGGGAAGATAATTTGAAGTTATAATTAAAAATAGGTAAAAGGAGTTAGAGAGCAAAACGATCAACTTTAGAGAGGGTGGTAATGAAATTCCCTCCGTTTTTTTATAACTTTGCTTGATAATATCACTCGACTATTCGACATTTTTAAAAATTAAAATTCAGGATTTGAATGATGTTACCATTTTTAGCTTAATTATTGCTAATCGAAAAGTGATGTACGTTTCCAATTTTACCTTTTTGGGAGGTAAATTACCTTTTGTGTTATGAAACAATAAAAGAAGAAGAAGAGTATTACAGAGAAAAGTAGAGAGAGAGAATTCTTATTGATTTGGGATAAATTACAATGGAATAGAACCCTCTATTTAAAGGGAGAGGGTGACTTAGCCACCAAGCAATGAACCCTAGAATCTCTCTAAATATAGACATTCACTATAAATACAATTCTATTTATAACACTCCCCCTTGAATGTCTATTCAACAGATAATGTGCCTCGTTAAAACCTTAACTAAAATAAAAACCAATGGGAAAAAAATTCTAGAGAAGGAAAAAGAGTACATATATCTAACAATACGCCTTTTGGTTGCCTCGTTAAAAACCTTGCAAGGAAAATCTAGTGAGACAAAACCTTGTAAGGAAAAAAGAGTACAACGCGTATTAACTCCACCCGATGAGAGCATCAATTCACATCCTTAAGCATTTGCATTTCAATCTTGTGCACCATCTTCAAAAGATCTTTGGTAGAGATTCAATAAACAAATCAGCCATATTAACTTGAATGAATATATTGCACCTTGAAATCATCATTCTTGATAGAGATGTAATGTCTTCATATAATGTCGTGGAATGACTTTTCAATATCTCCATAGAGGTATTCTCGCTATCACATTATCATGCTTATAGTTATAGCAAGATACGTATGTGCACAAATTGCACTTAGGATGTAGTACTTCATGACCATGAATTCTATATGCTTTAAGCAATTTAAATCCTTCAAGGATTTTTAAGTCATATAATAGACTTTAGATGCATATCACGTTTTCATGTCATGCTAGACATATAAGATATCGAAAACTGATTGCACATACCATTGACTTTATACTTTCAAGTGTTTGAACTACATGTCCAAAACTACTTGTCTTTCATATGAAACCAAATTCTACTTGAATTGTTTCTCCAGACTTAAGATCCTCATATATATTTAGCGCTATCATAGGTATCGTCGACATATATTTTATATCGGTTCCAACCTTCTTATTTTTCATAAAGACATAACATAGAGATCTCTTCATTCATATATTCAGGTACCTGAATCTCTCATGAGATTTTATGAAGTGTTATGTCATGTGATCTTCTAGATCACTTGCCTCCTTTATTATGATCATTTGCTCATCTTCTTTGTCAAGAAGTTTTATTTGAAATCGATTTGTCTATAAGCTTTAAGCATACCATAGACTTTGTCCTTCTAGGACTTAATGTGAGCATTTGCAATGAGAATATAGTTACTTTCTTTGGGTCAGCAAATGCGTCTGGCATGCTTTGCAATATATTGCAAATGAATTATTCTTTTATGAATTTCAAGTTCATATTATCTTATTCGAGGATCTAGATGTGGAAATGATAATTCATTCCACGTAACTTTTTCTCAACTGTTTATCATGTTTCCCCCTCATGTTAGAAAAACTAACTTGTTTCCTCAACTTTGAAAACCCTTGTGCGTTATGGTGTTAATCAAAATATACACCGCACATCAATAATAATAAGATGAAATCATTTGGTTCCTGACCCTGAACCACTTGTAAGGGGAGAAAATAATATACTTTGGTATATAACGTATATCAAACTAATATAGATAACTTTGTTCTCATAAGCAATTGTTTAGATATTAAGTGGAGGCACTCAATAGTTCATCTTGCTAAACCAACTGTGATATAAACCAACTTATCAAGATGAATTGTCTTGAATAGAAAATCTGGAAATTATGCTCTAAATTAAATTATTGAGCAAGTTACCTCGCAAACACCATGTTGTGGGTTAATAATAATCGCACATGTAACCATCTCATAGATGCATCTTATGTGGTATACATGGCACGTGAATGAGCCCATATTCACCTTTGATATTTCCAGCATTCATGGGATTCAATCCCAATTTTAGTTGATCTATTAATTAATGAGAACATGCAACATAAGAGAATTCGTAAAGAACTTTCTAGTTTTTAATATTTACCCATATGAATTCTCTTTTATTTTTGCACATCATACCTAAATTGATATGGGTAAACCAATTATGCCAACTGAATAAATATCAATATTGATAAACTTCAGATTTACACCATGACGTGTGCAATTATCAATAAACTCCAAGTTTATTATGATATGAGTTTTTATATCAATAAACATCCACTTTATTATGGTATTCTTTTATTTGTGTAGTACAAACTGGAGAATAAAGCGGGTAGCTTTTCACATGCATATTACCCCGCTACAAGTTGTAGTAATAGAAGATATTAAATCTTTCCTTTATTTATAACCTCAATATAATCAACCGTTTTCGCGTATACTTTGGAAACTGAATAAGTTTCTTTGAGACTTACTACAACACAATACCTTATTGGTAATCAATTGTGTTTCTCCAAAATAGTAATAATTGGCTCTTCCAGAGCTCTCAATTAATTTTGTACTATCACATATTCATCAACATCCATATGGTGAAAAGTTATACCATTATGGTTATGGTCAAAATTATATGCAAGATATGTTTCTTGCACTAATGTTATTCTTTAATAATCACATTACCAAAATATTTTGGCGCGCAATAGGTACGTTACCAATGACCATTCATGCAATAATAATGACATTATTTTCTTATATCATCTCAAACCTCCTTTTAGAGGTGAGTGTGGTATATTCACTACCACTAGCACATTCATATTCTTCCAAGAATGAATATGTATTCATAAATCAGATATTTTCACATTCACATCATGAATGGACCATAATCATCTATATGTGCTTTATAAAATATCATGTCAAATCGATGGCAAATATTACTTTCACAGAGTGAAGGATTATTTTGAGAATCCTTATTATTCTCATTATCACAATGATGACGATTATAATTTCGTCTAATACTACGTCCACATCCATTGATACCTTCACGGTAATAATTTTATCTTCTTTCAGACTTATCACATACTGCTATCACATTCTCTTAAGGGAATGAGAATGAAGTAAATTCAATGGGACGGGTATGCACTTCTTGTGCCCATAATCATACATAAATTTGATCATGGCAAGACATAAAAATTTTACCACTTCGAGTGGTTATAATTTCTTACTAACTCCATTAGAGTTATAATCAAATTTTATTGTCTTTGCTTGTATTTAAAATCAAATTATAGAATAAAAGAGAAAAATACGGTAAAACACTTACCTTAAATCCAGAATTTAATCATGAAGGAAGTTCATGGAACAATTGACAATCATTATGCTCAATCCCAAAGTTTCTACTCAATTGGTTAGAGTCTTGTGCTGATAACGTGTTATGAAACAATAAAAGAAGAAGAAGAGTATTACAATAGAATAGAACCCTCTATTTAAAGGGAGAGGGTGACTTAGCCACCAAGCAATGAACCCTAGAATCTCTCTAAATATAGACATTCACCATAAATACAATTCTATTTATAACATTTTGTTTTTTTGTTAAGCTGCAAGCAAGTCATGAAAAAAAATATTTTTTGGCATATATCAAATACATTTAGATATAAATGAGAAAAAATGTTTGTCGGGTTAAAAGTAGAGAATTCAGTATTTAATTTTTGAAAGGAACGTCGTCCTACTAGTGTAATAGCAATAATTAAGCTAAAAGAGTATTTTTCAACCTTTTCTCTCATTTATTCTCATTATTCGTCCTTTGCAATAAGATTAATTACTAAAGGAATGACTTCAGCTGCTGTAAATAATTTGACAGAGATACTGTAAGATTTTTTTTTTTAACCCAAGACAAGGACAACATGGCAGATAAGTACTACCAAATTCAATTCCTGGTTTTCTCTTTCGAGTTAACTTGGATGTGAATTCTTTTTTCCTTTTTTGTCTTCCTTCGTCTCACTCTTTACATCTTATTTCATGTTGATAATATAAAATTTACGCCATTATTTATAATTAATTATACTAATACTATGAATCTTTATGTGAAAATGTAATTTTAACATGTCTGTTTTGTTGGTTTTATTCTTGGTGGCATTTTTTACAAAAAAAAAAAATTAAAATTAGCATACATGTTGAAAAGCACTAATTACTGAAAGCAGTTTTTAGTAGTCATCATTTTAGTATGCTAAT